AAAAAAAAAAAAAAAAAAGCCGCGATCGCCGGCAGCTCCACTGCGCTGCTTTCTTCTTCAGCGACAATTTGGCGGCATGTCCTTCCTGCCAAGAGGGACAGGGACCCTCCGCCTAATTGCCGCGGAAGAGCCCGATATGCCGCCCCAAGCACCTGCTCGCTCAGCTGGTGTCTGGAGCCGGCCCTGCCACACCCAGCCCAGCCCCACTCCCCCACACACCCTGCCCAGCCCAGCCCAGCCCCCTGACCCTTCCACACCCAATCCACCTCACTCCCCCCAATACCCTCTCCACTGCCCCCACACCCAGCCCAGCCCTGCCCCACTCATCCACATGCCCAGCCCCCTCACTCCCCCCTCCTTCCTAGCTCCCCACCCCTGCACACCCAGCCCACCTACCTCATTCCTCCCACACCCTGCCCTGTCCCACTCCCCCTGAACATACCTACTCAGCCCCCACCCCCTGCCCAGCCTGCCCCACTCTCCCTAAAACTAGCCTACCCCACACCTTGCCCTTCCCAACTCTACTGCCCCACTTCCCACACACACACCCAGTCTGACCCACACCCTGCCCACTTTTCCCACCCCACTCTTCCCTGCACCCAGACTGCCCCACTCCCCCCACACCCTGCCCAGCCTTCCTGCCCCACTCCCCCCACACCCAGTCCCCCCACACCCTATCCTGCCCCAGTCCCCCCACACCCTGCCCTGCCCTCCTGTCCTAGTCCCGCTATCCTGCTCCCCCTAAACCCTGCCCACCCCACTTCCCCCATCCATTTCAGGTCAGCCTTTTCCACCCTGCCCTGAGCGGACGGTGCTGCATAGCCCAGCACTGCGGGCAAGGCAGGGGCTAGCTCGCCTCTGGAGGACCTTGATAAACGTACAGTAGCTGGCTCCACTTTGTGCTGCAGGCACCTGCCAGCCCTGCTCTAGCATCAGCGCACCCTATGCCTGGGCTGCCCACCCTGAGGGAGCAGGCCCATTTCTCTGCAGGGCCCAGGATAGCACCTGTATGGGCCCCCTGCACCCTGCCCTGGGTGCCTGCTGAATGGACTCTCCTTCCCATGCCTGGCACCAGCTCATCGGCCTGCACAGTATGAGGAAGGTCACTTTCATGGAGCTGAGATGCTTACCCTGCCACGCCAGCATGAGGACACACAAGTGCAGGAAGCCATACCAGTCCAGCAGCTGGTTTCTTTTGCCATCTGGAAGCTGGCTACCCTAATCTGCTACAGGCAGGTCAGCTATCAGTACTGTGGTGGAGGTTGGTGAGGCCAGTGGTTTCCCCAGGAATTGAAATTAGGGAGGGTGTTTGAATTTACGGGGGGGGAGGGGGGTGAGTCAGGGCTGATGAGGGGTGAGACTGTGAGGGTGAAGGTGGGCTGTATGGCACCATAGTAAAAACTGAAAAATGTTTCATGACCAGTTTATTAAATTTAACTCAAGTTTTAAAATCATCACACAAATTAAAATTGGCTAATCAAGCCTTCTATAAAAAGCAACAAAGAGTCCTGTGGCACCTTATAGACTAACAGAAGTATTGGAGCATAAGCTTCCATGGGTGAAGACATGCGTCTGACAAAGTGGGCATTCACCCACGAAAGCTTATGCTCCAATACTTCTGTTAGTCTATAAGGTGCCACAGGACTCCGTCACTTTTTACAGATCCAGACTAACACGGCTACCCCTCTGATACAAGCCTTCTATGAAGCACTACGTCTACATCCTTCTTGGTTTCTTGTTATAATTTTGCACAACTCTGTTAATGAACTTCTTGAATGCAATGTATTCATCTTTGGTGGCTTCTTGTGTGTCCAGTACTTCCATTCCTTCAATTGATATGCTCATTAGTTCATTCACATGATCAGGCAGAAGGCGACTTCTTTCAGAACACAAAATTCTATTCAATGATGAAAAAGAACGCTCAACTGTAGCTGTTGTGACTGGGAGTAGCAAGAGATGAATTCCTACTACTTTCATCCCAGGAAATGGAACACAAAGATCGGGTTGAGCCACTAGTGATGATAAAAAAGAAGTTGAAGTCAAATCTTCATTCATTCATTGTGTGATATTCCACTCTGTGTTCAAATTCTCTGTTCTGTCCTGATCACAAGGCAGCCCCATTGCTAGTAGTGTCTCACTCCCCTCAACTGTTGGTGTTTTATAGGACAGGCATCTGTAAAAGCTATGTAGAGGTTGAGTAGAATCTAGAAGTCGCTGTTGTAGATTTTTAAGAATCAAGTCTGTGTACTTTTTCAGTTGTCTTAACAAACACTTCTTGTCTTCTTCACTTAAGGATTCAACAGTAGAATTACGAGAGAGAGAATGGCAATAGTCTTCTCTGAACATAGTAGCAAAAGTAATCCACCAGCCTCACTACTTAGATCCATCCCATCTTGGTAGATACTTTCCAAAACCAGTAATAATGGCCGTAGTAATTTTAAGACAACAGCCAAGGATCACTCATGAGAAAGCCAGCGGGTTTTCCCAGGTTGGACTAATTTGAACTTCAGTCCCAGTGTATCTTCTATATTTTCCAAGATATTTAGTCTTTTTGGACTCTTGCTGAAAAAACAATATAATGAAGACATTAAATGTATACCTTCTTTAATGTCTTTTGAAGATTCTGCAGCTCGTACTAGCGCTAGTTGAAGTAGATGGCCTCTGCAGGGTGTATAGGAGAGATTAGGGTTACACTTTTCTCTGAGCAAAGCTGTACTCCACCATGTCTTCCAGAGAAGTTCGCAGCTCCATCAAATGCACAAGCAGCTATCTGTTTGGGGTCCAATTGACAAGCATTTAACTCTTCTAAGATGTGGGTTGTCACAGATGCAGCCGATGTGTCTTCTATAACTTGAACATCTAGAAATGCATCTCCTGGCCTACCCCTGACATCAAGATAACGTACACAATGACTTAATACTTGATGCCCATTTGCACATTTTTTGAATGTGGTGAGAGAGTTCTTCACTTTTTCAACTGTTGGGTCTTTCACTGTTGCACTGCATGCTTCTAGCCAGTCCGTTGAGTTTCTTGCAGAAACATAGTGAGCATTTGCTGGTCTTGTGTTCGGAACCAGTGTTCAACTTCAGGATGAACAAGTGACAGTGCACTTAACATTGGCCTCCAGTTTGTAGTGTGTGGTATCTCTTGCTTAAATAGGAAGTAGGATGCCACAGCCATGTTTGTTTGCATGAATTGCGTTGTGTCTCCAGCATTCTTAACAGCATCATTAAGTACTTCTAAAATTGGCTTTGAAAGTGGGCTTATAAGGCTTTCTGCATGTTGATGCATTCCAGAGGCCTGGTGTTTTGCAGCCTTTTCACGTAGTTTGTCAGCATTGGCTTTGCTGATAGGTTTGACAAACCAAGCTCCTCACTTCTACCAATTATAGCATTGGGAAGCTTTCCTTCTTCGTAAGCTTTTTTGCAAGAGGTGCACCAGTAGCCATCTTTTGTAACTTCAATAAATGGGAACACTTTGACCGACAAACATCGGGAACTGCCTTTAGGTTTTGGAGACACTGTTTCTTCAGTAGGTAGCTGTATTTGTGCTTCGGACTGGTCGGATGTAGATATACCACTTGAACCTTCAGAAGACATGTTGATATATTCTTGGTTCTTGATGCGTTCTTCACCTTGGTTAGTTTTTGAGGCCTTTGAGTGGAAAAATTGTTGTATTGTTTTTTGTCTTTTCGTTTTCACTTTGACCTGCAACATATAAAAGAGATATGAATAAAGTAAATGTTTTGTTATGTTAAATTTGCATTATCCTAAGGATAATGCAAGTTACACCAAAACATATAACAGGTCTAGATTTCTAAAAAAAATATAATTTAAAAAAAAAGTATTTAATTTAAATTGACTTTTGAAAAGTAAGCCATCATGGGATAAGAGGGAAATCCTCTCATGGATCAGTAACTGGTTAAAAGATGGGAAAGAAAGGGTAGGAATAAATTATCAGTTTTCAGAATGAAGAGAGATAAATAGTGGTATCCCTGAGGGGTCTGTACTGGGACCATTACTGTTCAACATATTCATAAATGATCTGGGGAAATGGGTAAACAGTGAGGTGGCAAAATTTGCAGATGATACAAAACTATTCAAGATAGTTAAGTCCCAGGCAGACTGCGAAGAGTTACAAAAGGATCTCACAAAACTGGGTGACTGGGCAACCAAATGGCAGATGAAATTCAATGTTGATAAATGCAAAGTAATGCACATTGGAAAACAATCTCAACTATACATACAAAATGATGAAGTCTGAATTAGCTGTTAACACTCAAGAAAGAAATCTTGGAGTCATTGTGGATAGTTCTCTGAAAACATCTACTCAATGTGCAGCGGCAGTCAAAAAAGCAAACAATGTTGGGAATCATTAAGAAAGGGATAGATATGACAGAAAATATCATATTGCCTCTATATAAATCCATGGTACGTGCACACCTTGAATACTGTGTGCAGATCTGGTCACCCCATCCCAAAAAATATATATTGGAATTGGAAAAGGTACAGAGATGGGCAACTAA